TGCAAAGCAGACGTTTTGGCTAAATAGCTGAAATGTCTCTTTACAGGTGTTGTGTTGCATAATGAAAAGTTTAAAAATGAGAAAAAGAATTCTGATCTTCCAGCTTTTCCTTAATAAAAATACGTTTTTATGGATCTACACACCCTGAGCCACTAGAGCGCAGTGATTTCATCATTTTTATTGATTCCTTTTTAATCAAAATCTTTTATTTGAGAACCTTGAAGACTATCAGACTTCCACTTTTCACACGGATGCTTCATTATTTTCATGTATACCAAAAACTACATTTCTAAACCACACCACTTTTATAACTACATGCATTGCCTTTAACAAAGCAAAGTCACTACAATTTCAGTTTGTTTTAAGATGCCTTACTTCAAAAGAAGAGGGATGTAAGATATTGTGATGCTAAACAAAAGATGATGCAAGGTTAGGACAATTAAAATTATAAATGGTGAAAATCTAATAATTCTATGAACAAAAGTAAGAACACACCCTCTTTATTGAACAGCCATGAAGGTGTGTACGAGTCGACTAGGAGAAATGTAACTACTTGAAGTCAACAGACAACTCCTCGTCAATGATGGCTCTTCTATTAGTGAGCCTCCTAATGCCAAGTCGATTTATTTTAACTGATTTGGGTTTGGCTGTGTGCCTTTTATCATTTATGTCGACTCTTAATTGTCAAAGTAAACAACTTGAAAATGTGGATGTTCAACTAAAATTAGTTACATGCTTATTCATCTATTTGTCTAAAAGTAAGTTTTTCAAAATATTGTATTTTTCTTCAGATTTATGTTACTCTGCCATGGTGTGAATTGTGGTTTTAAGTGCTTTAGTAAAGCGTAGTGCAAACGAGGGCCATGGCGCAGATTCAGGTGATGGATTGGTGACTGACTCTAGATTGAATGGTTGGAAGTGGAGCTACAGGGACATTGGAGGACACATACTGTAGTATTTCCCGAGGCACCCACCCTTCTCATATGTTATTGCAGACATAAAAGCTGTTTATACTATTATGAGGGTTGTTGCTAGGTTAGGGTACCCGGGGCCCAGTGCAGTTTGTTGCTGTGATATCATGAAATTGCATTCTCGGGGTGAACATAGACTTTTACAGTTCCATTCAGCTGAATGGAGAACGTCCTCACATCTTTGTCCAGCATTACCCTTGACTCTGGTTTTTACCAATATTTTCAGGAAAGGACAGCTGTATGATAAACAGAAAATACTGGAGGACCTTCACAACTTTCGTCTGCTCGCGTAGTTTATCAGTCTTCTTATTTTGATTAAGCTGCTTTCTCCCCATCACCTAGTTGTGTAATTTAATGTTGCTTTACTTCTGGCTTATACAGTGTATGAGACAGATAATTATTAGGTAAAGATCAGAATGTGTAAGAGAATGGCATGAATTTTGAAATATGTAATCCTAAATGTATATGCAATATGGGGCCATGTATGTGTGTGAAGATTGTAAAAAAAAAAAAAGGAATTGCTAAGAAAACTTACAAATAAAATGCAACCTGCTGCATTAAAATGTGTAGGTCGTCTCAACTATTGTATTAAAATTAGTCTGAAATTACACTGCTTTGTTCTGTCAATTTTAATTTGTTTTAAATTTATTGACTAAATGCAAAATGCCTGACTCATAATAGATTTATTTGGGCACACATTTTGCAGAAAAAACAGATTCTTATGAACTAGCCATTGCAACTGTGGTCTGCTCTAGTACTTTTCAGGCATTTCAGATAATTATATCAGACAAAACGATACGAGTTATCACTATAAATTTAAATATCATTTAAAAAAAGAAGAAATAATATCACATCATATGATGCCTTATAGATGACCAGGGACTGGCAAATACTTGAAGTGAATTTGCCTGCTTCAGAGAATTACCCCTTGCAGAAGAAGAGGTCTCATATGCAAAAACACATAAAACCAAGGCACTGGCACTATATATATTACTTTTTTTTTTTTTAAGAACAATCACCAGGGCCGTAACGGAGGTATGCATGCAGGGCCCCAGTGCAAATTATAATACAAATTAAACAATGCTTTTCACAACAATTTTTCAGGTTTGTCTGTGTTCTGGTACATAAATTGAATAATTAAATATAAATAACATTGCATAGTATTCACGGTATAAATTAAATATAGAATAATAACTGCTACAGCTACAAAAGTTATTCAGTCAAGAGCAGTGAGTGATTTTCTCTCTCTCTTTTTCTTGGATTAACATTAAGGAACCCACAGCAGCTAATAAATTAGGAGCTGTCACTTTAACACAAAATGCATGGATCCGATATAATGAATCATCTTTATCAACTGTTTATGTTCACTTATGACATAACTGAGAGTTTTCGAGGATACTCACACAAGCGGGTATTTTGACATAAATAGTTTGCGCTGTGAACACACCTTCTTGCGCTTGAATGGTTTCATTGGCACTTAAATGTTCAAATTGGCAAGATGTATTTTTCCATTCAAGAGCAAGATGTCGCAAAAGAGAACTCAATTGTGGGCTCGCATGTTGTCAGTGTACTGAATTGAGTTGTTTTGTGTCTTTTTGCGCTTGAAACTTTAATTGGCAAGGCTTAAAAACATGTGCAAATGATAAACTTTCGTGACGAGGTGCGGCAGTGACCCGATTGGCAGTCTGTAAACTGTCACGACAAGGTCCTCTTATACCGAGGTATCATATGACCTTTGAAGAGCAGGTCCTCTTTCAAAATGGTTCTAGGACAGGAGACAATTTAGAGACAAACTTACAAGGCAACTTTATCGCCTCTTCACAATGGCAGCCATTTTGCCACATTGTGTATTTCCCTATAATGAATTTTATTTTCTCAGAGCACATTTAACTTTATTTAAATATTTAGTTTCCCATTATGTAATCAAATTTCACATTTATTACATGGGACATTTTATCAGTGACAAGCAACATATGTGCCTATAAACACTGTCTAAAACTGCAAATACCGCAACGTATGATAAAGTGTGAGGAAAGTTTAGGAGGTACAACATTAACATGCATTGGTTCAGCTACTTCTGTGAGCACAGAATGTTCATGCAAAGTAGAGCAATGATTTTATTGCACAGGTAAACACTGCTGTTCTAATAATAAGCTAGTGAGTGTAAGAGGGTGTTTGGTGTAAGGATTAGAGTGACAGTTTCTTGATGGCAGAGTGCCAAACATCAAAAACAGTATGTCTCAAATGGCCATGGGTCACTGTATTCAGTGTATCAGATTACCATACTGTAGTTGTAAAAAAACAGTACACACATAACATAAAGATCTTCTCTAGAAGAATTTATTTATTTAATAAAGTGTTAGTTAATCCAATAATTCATTCAGTCACTGCCTTACTTTAACCGGAATAAGGTAAAATCTCACTCATGTAAAGTCATTTTACAATGGCTTTATTACTTTGGACCACTAGAGCGTGCTATAGTGTACTTGTCATGATACAATGTCATAATATTCACACACTATATTGAACAGTAACATTAAGTTTACATAAACCATTTTCCTTTGTGTGCGTTGTCTCATACATTTCCACAGGCTGTTTAATGAGTGGTGGTAGGCCTGTCTAGTTGTAAAAAATAACATCTTATGAACTTTTAGTGCATAATTGCCTAATAGAATTAAACATGCTTACTTTTGTCCTAAAATCAATGATTGGTACTATTAATGCCCAATTCAGGCCATTTCCACTTTTAGAGGAAGGTAAAATGAGCACATTTTGCATGACACTGGCTGATGTTTCAGGCAGACAATGGAAGTGTTTTTTGCTAAAGTTACATTATGTTCAGTCTGAGGCATGTCAGGACATGTTGATTGTTCATTCATTTCCATCTAACACTTTATTTATTGTACTTTCTAGACTGGGATTTGTTTTAAGTACAAATTGTATGCATTATAATATATCTGTTTCATTGTGTTCATTACTGGGTCGTAATCAGCGTATAAAACGCACTGAGTTGCCTTTTAAAGAAAGCTTAAATCCTTTTAGGTTTTAGCCTGAGATGTCGCGGTCGCACAAAGGGTCAACACTGTTGTCGTGAGAGTGAAATTTCAGCACGGTGTCTGTCTGCATTCACTGGAATGCAATTGCAACCCCCTTTGTTATGGTGAGAAGCTGGAAGAATGTTCTCTCAATTAAAATTCCTCAGGCTGACCTGTTGCCAAAAGGTATTTTAAAGCGGCGGCTATTTGACTAAGAATGCGCCTTGTCATTAGTGAGCAGGTACTCTATCAGCTGAGTGTGCATTCAAACATAAACCAGTAGTGAGCGATGCACTTTCACAATATTCTGGCATCAACACAAGTATTCTGTATAAGAACGGTTAATAAGACTTAAGGCTTTTCATCTGCGACCGAATCAGACGAGCAGAAAACGTGTGTGACGGTATTTATACAGTGGCAACAATAGAGACAATTTGGGAAAATCTAAACATTAAGTTTGAACCTTTTTTCTTTTTGGGTTAAGGACAATGTTTGCTGAAGAATACTTCTGATTAAGAGAAAAGCATCCCAGTTCACATGCACAGTGAGCGGACTGGCAGTAATTGGAAAATCATTTCCGCGAATCGGATCTTTTGAACACTTCATTTCAAAGAAAGCTAAAAGAGAGAGAGAGAGAGAATCGTACGTCATCACGTAAAGCGTTCCAAATAAAGGCATTTTATATTCTAAATGTTTTCTTAATAAGAATGTTTGCAGAATCAAGAAACAACAGTAGCCTAAAAACGTAAGCCTATATCTTGGTTGAAATGCTAAATGTTTATAAAACTGTCACAAAACAAGTTCTCGTTCAATAAGTCGGCGAGTTGTTGACTCGATAACAGTTCTTCTTACTAATTCAGTGTACTGATTCTGCTCGGTTTTGTGCAGCGGTTCAACCAGTTCATAAAAAAAAAGAAAAAAGATCCGACTCAAAAGAACCATTCGTTCACGAATCGGACATCGCTACTGGGTTGGGGGTGCGAGGAGGGGCGGGTGTTGTTGGTATAAATTACCTCTCACTACATGTACCTTGCCTGTCCTCTGAACTTTGAGACAGCCACAAGCATCACTCAAAGAAATGCAACAGATTGGAAATTAAACAAAGCAACTCTTTAGTACAACAACTAGTAAACGTCGTTTTCCACAAACCGCCTAGCATGGATGATTACCACCTATTCTGTGCATCATGCCGAAAAACGGGGAAAAAACAAACAACGGTAAGAGAAAGTGACAATGACATGACTGAGGTTGCAGTATGTATTCGCATAGTTTCATCGTTTCTACGTAATTACAGTTGCATGTTTAGGAATATTCATGACGATATGTAAAACTCAGAGAAAAGTTGGGAGAATCGTCATTGTTTTAAGCGTATAGCCGTTTCTTGATTGTATCACTGATAAGGATATTAGCGTTACTTTGAACTTGTTGTGTCACTCTTTGCTCGCGTGATTGAAATCAGCACAATCACACCAGTAACCTCTTGTTAAACGATACGGGTTGACTACGGATCTATGAACTGACTCGCACTCAAATGTGTTTTCATTTCACAGATGCTCTCACTGATACTCTTCATTCTGTCATTGTTCATGGTCGCATCCCCCGTAAGAACAGGGGAGACTCTTTGCGGCGGAGAACTAGTGGATACTCTTCAGTTCGTGTGTGGAGAAGATGGGTTTTTTATCGGTAAGTGTAACTCTGACAGTGCTGTGCGATGGTTGTCAGGAATTCTAAACATTTACATAGCTATTTGTCTTGTAGAAGTAGTCACAGTATGGCATTGTCATCTGTCTTGTCTTTCAAATTGCTGTTTGTATAGTTACATGTGCACTAATGACTGTCTCAATGAGGGTGTTTATTAAAGAGGAAACGTGCCTCTTATTGCTTTCTAGCAAGTATTACCAGTGAAAGCCATTAGTGCAGTTAATTGCTGTTAAATGTCAGTATTTTGGGGAAACAAGGAGTTTGTGTCTGCAAGTTTAGCTGTTTGCAAAAGATCTCTCTCTCTCTCT